GTTGTATCTCTACAACTTGAAAATGCACAGCACCAGCTGTAAGCACATCCGTGGGTCCACAATATCATATCCAACCTACTATTGCGAAGTCGAACAAAATGTTTCGACAGGGAGTTGCAGATTTCTTGTCAGATCGCCGCAAAAGTATTCAATCATTGTCCGAAATAGATCTTCTTGCCACATAATGAACACCCAAACACTTATGGTTGTATGTTGCTCACATTCGATCAGGTTAAAATACGACAATAATGTGCACATAACATAACATACATTCATGTTCTTATCAAATCAAAGTGAATACACGTACAAATTGGTTATTACTATATACGTTCACGTTTATATCACACACATCACATGAAATCATTTATGTACTTTAGAGGGAAGTGAACATCTCCAATATTTACGTTCACATCAGATAAATGTGGACGTTGCTCACGTTCATATTCGATGAAAGAAAAAACATAAACATTCACATCAGACTAAGATGAACATTGCAAATGCTCACATTCATATAAGGTGAAGTTGGATATCAGAGATATTCACGATCACGTCATGGATTCAAATATCACAGATATAAATACAGCAGATACAAAGCAAACCTCAACAATCATTCATTTGTTCATTCGTTTGTTCATTAATTTATTCCTTCTTAAATTTGTTTCCTATAATGTAGTAAGGTTTTGCGACACACAATGGGAAAGGAGTGCCAAGTTTAAAGGCCCTAGCTATTGTCCTCTATAGTTATACATGGAATATACATTAACACATATTGTGACATGATGTTTGATGTTCTGGGCTAACAAAGTAACCAGGCATTGTGGGATCGTGAGTGCTAATTTTGAATATTGTAAAAATACATCAAAACATACTGCGATTTAGACCCAAATACGTAGCAATGTCATGCGAGTTCTGGTGGATCATGTGTGCAATGTATGAAGAGAGTAGTTATTTTTATTTCCAACAAACGTGCATCTGATATTCAGGATTATGGTTTGTAGACTGTGTTTCTAGACCAAACCAATTATGTTGCTGGCTAAAACCGCAGTGAGTTGATAAATAACGTTGGCTGGGAGCTACATTCGAATTCCATTTTACGTATTACCTTATTGATTTTAATGCATTCATTTGTCCTCTTGACCTCATGACCAGAATGCTTCATAGCAGAACTTTTATAAGAATACTATATCTCTGTTTTTGAGTCTGACCCGATTTCTCAAGAAAATTCTCCATGCTCTGAAAATGTACCGGCTCAACTCACTGTCTCCATCTATAGCACCATTTCTACATACAACTTTTGCTCGTGAACTTGTGGATTCCTGCTGAAATTGGTATAGTACAGGTGTGATGGTTCATATACCAAAATGGCAACAGTAACAAAAAGACTTCCCTGGCGGCGATGATAAAATACGAACACGGAGACAACAGATGAGGTTTCAACTGGTACTGGTATTATTATACTCTGAAAACATCAAGTACAATAACGCGGTAAAACTCCACTACTCCAATAACTAGAAACTCCAATACAATTCAACGAGATCTCCGATCTGATGTCAGTGCTGAACAACTCCCCTATATATACCCACACTGTCTATAAATAGACCATTACATCAGCATACATAATGAGTCTGGAATTTACTATAAATTTCTAGAATGTTCCATTACCTTATATTACCTCCTACAGTGTTCTATTACCTATTCAACCAGTTTCTAAACAAAATCTACAATATTCTACCCAGACACAGTACGGTTCTAGAACATTCTCAGTGACACGGGAGTGGTAAATAAGTCGTATGCGACACTACTCACCAATTACAAGAACCGTTAATCAACACATACACATACACAGCACATACACTCAAGAACATAAAGCATGGCACATACTATTTTAACCAGTTTGTAACTGCTAGTAAGACTAAAATTAAATAGTTGTTTAATGAAAACGTCTGGTTATCTGTGCTTGACAATTGCGTGAATACCCGATCTGTGTTTGTGTGTTATACTATAACATATGAACAAACTTTTCCATGCTATACCTGATAAGTTGAAATAAACATTAAACAAACATACTAACAATGGCCGTGATAATGCACATTTCACTAGACACTACAAATTTAATTTATATTTTTCTGGTGAATTGAATTTTACAGATGTGAATTTGATGAAGACAATTTCTATAAACGCATCATCAGTGTGGATTATTCTCCGCATGACACAATTGATCTAGTATGATGTGAAATTCTAGCCTTCAACAAAAAATTAAACCCAACTTCAAAGATTGTTTATATGGAGCCCTTATTTCGAAACCTACAATGGCGTGTCCTATAAGGAGCATACACAAATAAAATTCTTCTACAGAACAATGTCGAGTAAGCATCACTAAAACTCAAACGCCCATTTCGCACTGTTGGTTTGTGGGGTTGCCTCCACATTTAGCTTCAAACTTTTTTTCTCGAAAAGCTTTATTTTCATTGCAAAACTGGCGATCCTTATAAGTCGTCGTAATAAACAACACCACATGTATACCACGGATCCGCTAGAAATATTCACAGATCTTGTAAACTGCAGTTTAAAACCTGAATTTGAATTGTTTTGGTTAAGCAATCAGTTGATTGTGTTTGATATCACTTATATACTGTATTTGGTTTAAATTGATACTCAAACCATTTCTGTTCATTTGTAACACAATATAATTGTACCGTATATTGAGGCAATTGTGAATTGTTTGACAAATATGAATGAATGGTGGGACATCCCGTTTCTTAAGGCTGGTTTCTTTTTACGGTGTCATTGCCTCGTGAATTTATAGTTCGTACCATTAGGTGGCAAAGAAAGCTTTGCCGTGTGTTGATAGATTGGTGGACCATCCTCGGTCACATGGTAGTCGGGATGCCCTTCATACAATCCTTGCCAACGAGTGCAATCCGTGCCTAATTCACTCTGTTCTCATTATTCTCCCAATGTCAGCATTTACTCGACAACCAACAATAACCCACAATAACTGCACGCTCCGATCTTTTCTCTTAAAATCTGTAAAGTATAATATTATCAAATCCAGTGATTAGTTTTTAATTAACTATCCTTGTTTTCCAGAAATGTGATATTTGAATCAGAAATATGTGGTATAAAATTATATTATTGTTGTTATAAAGTAACGCACAAGTAATGGGAAAACAAACATATGACCATGCATCATTAACACGGATTGAACTGCGTTACATTCTGGCTAACATTTCTATAATTTTATTTGGTAACTCAGATCATGTCTCTGGGGGTGTCGGTAAGGAAGTTACGCAGGATTGAATTCTCTGGTTCTGTAAATGCATGAACTTGATTATAATCAAATAAAATGAATGGAGGCAACTGCATATAACACTGCAGTACTTAAGTGCCGACGCTGGCTCTATCAATTTCATTTTCAACGGAGTAACAATATCATCATATCTACAAGTGTATTTAGGATAACTTCAGGTTTCCTTCTTACCTCAGAAAAGATGTCGTTGCGTCATTAACGAATACGCCACCTGTGCACCTACTCCCTATAGTATAATTCAATCGTTGAATGAGTGTGCGTCACAAGTTACCAGTTACTTGAACACGCAATATATAACAGTGTTTATCGTGAACGTACTGTTTTAAGAGGTGCTTCATAAACCGTTCATAAACACACTTATTAAACATGCATGCCGGGCGTTTTACCTGGAAACATTACACGCGTGTTTCTTTTCTGATGTGCTTCTAAATAAAACTGTTTGGATTGAAGGTGTTATTTATAAACTTGTGTATATTTCACATACACTTATGAAACATGCATAGTCAGGTGTTCTAGCTTGAAGCGTGAAGTGCTTTAAGATAAAATAATTTGGGGGAAAAGTAGTTTAGTTATTCTCATGAATACAAATGTGCCTTATTGCGAAACATTTATACCCCGGTGTTCGGGTTGAAACATCGATCTTTGGCGATTTCTGGAGTGCTTCACATTGAACAGTTTTCATCAAAAGATGTTTTAGTAAGTCTCAAAAACACTTTTCTTCCAAGATTTACAGTGTAAGAAATAAAAATCGTAATTTGAAAATGCAAATCATAATTTGAAAATGCAAATCGTAATTTGAAAATGCAATTTGCAAGTTACAAATGCAAATCGTATCTTACAAATGCAAATCGTAGCTTACTTTTACAAATAATATTTAACAAATGCAAATCGTTATTTGCAAATGCAAGTTGTAACTTACAATACAATTACTAACTTACAAATGCAAGACCTAACTTACAAATGCAAATCGTTATTTGCAAATACAAGTTGTAACTTACAAATGCAAATCCTAACGTACAAATGCAAAGCGTAACTTACAGATGCAAATATTATCTTATACATGCAAATCGTCGCTTATAAATGCAAATTTTAACTTACAAATGCAAATATTAAATTACATAAGTTTTATAATTTTTTTCATAACACCTTATATTAGATTTAAATTTGTGATTGAGCTGTGCAAGGTTATTTTGCCGTCAACTATCGAGTACTGCATAGTTGTAAGATTTTCCGCAAACTTTTACTAATCTTCATGCTTCCGTTGAGTGTCACATGTACATAAAGAAGGCTACAACGTAATTAGTACACGTACAATCAATCGTGTACTTGCCCCAAACGCGTAGTCACTCCTCGTGGACGTGTTAATCCGCCGATAGAAAAATAGGATTTTTACAATTCAGCCAGGTAGACTTAGCTATGTTGACATTCATATTGACCACAATTGCATTGGCATTAATAATACCCCTAAAACTGTTTAGTTCACAGGAAATTGGTTCATAGAATCATGCCAATTTAGCCACTCCGTGGGTGTTAATGTGTCATTGCGCATTGATATGTCTGAGTGCTAGTGAAACAAGTCTGCAGAAAGAATAAATAAGGTGTGACTGCAGAAAGACGTACATTTAACTATTCGTGTAGATTTTTGTACATCTTTCAATTTCATACATAGACAATAGGTTTGATTCTGATCATGTCTCAACGTGTGGCTATCATTGGAGCTGGAGTAGCAGGGTTATTGTCCATTAAAAGTTGTCTGGAGGAAGGTCTGGTGCCAGTTTGTTTGGAGAGGCACGATGATTTAGGTAAGTACTTTTTAACTTGTATAATTACGTCGATTGTAAATACAACTCGGAACTCTGTTCTTGTGTTGTTCTTGTTATGTCATTAGTGGAAATTATGTTTGTTCAACGAGGAAAGAATTTACAATGCAGAAATATGTATATGAATATGCGGGGAATTCACCTCGCTTTTAAGTCAACGACCTACATTGAAAGTATTCATGGTTGAACTCACACCATTAAAAAAACTCACACCATTAAAAGACACCGGGGTTTACGACTTATGTAGGCTACTGGGATTACCTTAGCAGCAGTGGTAATATCATTATCATTGCGTACAGCTTATTTTGCGCCCATAGAGAACGATGACATACGGAATACAGAAATATCCCAAATAATTCCATTTCATGTCGTAGTAGTAGTGATTTTTGTGTCGCAGTTAGAGACAAGTACAGTTGACAATTAATAGAGGAAGAAAAAAACTATCACGTTAAACCATGGGATCCTGCAGGTAGGCCGGTCACACCGGTTCTCACCACAAGAGGTTACGAACCCCCCTACCAATCCCACAGCCGAAATAAAACACACAACATTAACTAAAAATACTACTGTACACGGTTGTTAGGACAGAACTTTATTATAAAATATAGGCAAGGAAATTTATTGCGTTGGTTAACTGTTGAAATCTGCGTGGCTTTTTAGCCATCCCTTCGATGCTCACTTGAAGCAATGGTACTACAGTACTTTAACTTGATGTGCGGTGGAGCTTAGCTCTGGCCACCCCACGAAGCAAACTTGACGCCAGGTACAAAAACACCCATGTATCTTCTCAAAGGACGCCACCCAACCCAAGATTGGATTGCACGTTTTGCACCCGCCGCCGTAAAGTTAAATAGACACTGTGCCTCACTCGATGTAAATGCACGTGATTTAGGTGGAGGAAGCATAACAAACCACCATGGAGGGATGTCATTATGAGTATGGGTTAGCTTAACAATTATATTTTTGAAGCGGATCAGAAGGTCAGATATACCGGGGCAGTCAAAAAAGATATACTGCAAGGAATCCATTTCTCCACATAACGGGCACGCCCTGCTAGTCGATAGTCCAGCATTAAAGAGGAACCCCGCTGTGGTATATGCACCGTGCATAATACGCCATTGAATGTCACCATTAAGCTTGGTAACATGCTTCAATCACCAAAACGACAATGCAAATTACCCAACTAAAGAAAAACGTGAACGTTGAACAAAATAACTCTGCAGATATGCCAGACACTCTTGTCCACACACTATACAACACACAATACAATGTATAAAACTTATGTGAACGACACTGCGGGTAAATAACTGCCTACAAGGGAACATGTTGTTACAAGTTTCTTTATTAAAAGTAAATGGCAACATGTAAATATGTCTACCACCCCCAGTTGTTATCTTAATGTTCGGTCATATCCAATTGTTCCACAACACGAAAATGAGAACAGATTATATGAAAATATTGAGCGCCTCTTCACCTCGATTGTACAGTGCACCACCAACTGACCAAACCAAACTGATCAAAAACACGTAACCATTTAGTCAAACGGCAGTACTCAAATTGAATATTAGACCAGTAATGCGTGTGGTGTTTAAAAATCTCCTGTAAATCCGTAGTTTCCACGCTGATTCCTGCGATGAATTGACAGCTCTGGTGTGGCAATAATGTAAATGGCATGTGAAATACTTGTTTACAAATACAGGCACGTGACTTTTGAGGTGGGAACACAGCAAACCACAATGAATAATTTATACAGTATCAATGTAGCAGTTTGTTGCTGGGATTAAATTCGTAGATTCATTTTCATTGAATTTCGAGCATTTTGTAAATTGAGATTAAATAGTTTTTCTGACTGCACTCCGATTTTCCTGAATAAAACTGAAGACAAATCCAGCCCTTTAACCACTCAAATCATCCCCTTTTGTGACTCCAGCATGAAAAAAAATGTTTGAGGGCAAACCGTTAATTTCTAGTGGACTTCCGAAAGAACGTCAGAAACATTGTCGGTGTTAACATTATGGCATTTATCCAAAGAATTCAAACACGTCGAAAGATCAGAATAAAAGATAGATCCATGAAAGGAAGACATATCAATGCTGGTTAACATTAACTCAAATGTGTATTTGAGTTATCTACATGGCTAAAGTAATAATCCGTGAACTTGAAACATTGATGTCTGTTGTCTGAATATGAATATTTTAAATGTATTTAATGCGCATAGCTTTAATTTTGCTGAATAGATAAACACACGTTTGACCACCTTTTTAGCAAATGGCGATACAAACATTCCGCCGAAACCTAATCGTCATTATGACTACGATTTCATAACAATTTACAATTATATAACGAATGTAATTAAAAGTGATAATAGGCGGGAAAGACTGGTAAAACGTTACAGCGACAAAAAGAAATAACGTTATAAATAATTAACATGCTGGAACCAATACTAGGGTTTACCTTTAGCTTACAAGCTCGACCCAGTTGTTTTCGCTGTAAGTTTTGTGATGATCTTCGTATTTTGTATTGACATATGAAAGTGATCGCTGGCCTGCTGAGAATTCAGTTTTATAAGCAGGTGTTTTGGTTTTGATTTTCCAAATGTTTCTTTGTTAGTACCTTAACTGGCACGCTTGTAGTTTGCTACATTGTCATTGGCGCGTGGGCAACGTTATTGGCATTCTTGCTAATGCCTGACTGTAAGTGGTAGGTCAGAGGAACACGAATTTTTGAGACAGGTCATCAGGTTACTTCTTGACTACGGTGAAGACACATGCGTATACATGGCCAATCTTCAGTTCCATTCATTGCAAGTATTTTAAAGAAACATGTCGGTCAAAATAAATTTTGGCTCTGTCTAGTGTTTATACACGTGTGAACACAGTAGCAATTGAAACCACTGATAACGATTGTTACAAAGATAGTCAAGCCCGCGATGTGGCACATGTTTGAAGACGGTATTAGTATAACACATTTGAGAAACCACTTTCACAAAAGTGAACAGTTGTGACACATTCAGCTGGTGTACATGTGATAATAAAGTGAATGTGGTAAATAAAATAAAAAGCGGTAGTAATCATAGAAATTATATGTATAATATGTAAAACGT